ACGAAAAATTAGCTGGGTATAGTGGCACATGCCTGTAATCCCAGCTACTCAGGAGGCTGAGGCAGGAGAATTGCCTGAACCCAGGAGGTGGAGGTTTCGGTGAGCTGATAGTGCGCCATTGCACTCCAGCCTGGGTAACAAGAGCGAAACTCTGCCTCAAAAGAAAAAGAAAAAGAAAACAAGGGAAAGAATGGAGGGAGGGACACTTGATCAGAAAGGGTCTGAGGAAGGGACATGTGAAATGAGATGCAACTGGTATCAAGGAGCCTTCCGTGTGCAGAACTTGAGTATGCACCTTGCAGGCAGAGGAAACAGCAAAAAGTCCTGAGGTTAGCATAAGCATTGTGTATTTCAATAACCATTGTAAAAGACAGTGACTATTTTTCCACCAGATGAGATGTGTGGGTTTCACCCTCTAGGCACTTCTTTGGAGCTCACTGGAGAACATATATGGCTTTTACTTTTTTTTTTTTTTTTGAGATGAAGTCTTGCTCTATCACCCAGGCTGGAGTGCAGTGGCACAATCTTGGCTCACTGCAACTTCTGCCTCTAGGGTTCAACCTCTGCCTCGGCCTCCTGAGTAGCTGGGATTACAGGTGTGAACCACCACACCTGGCTAATTTTTGTATGTTTTTTTAGTAGAGACAGGGTTTCACCATGTTGGTCAGGCTGATCTCGAACTCATGACCTCATGTGATCTGCCCACCTCAGCCTCCCAAAGTGCTGGGATTACAGGCATGAGCCACCATGCCTGGTCACAGATATGGCTTTATAAGTCAGCCTATGTGACAAGGGACAACAAAGTTGGAAGGCTTCAGCTAGTTGTCACTAAAGGAAGGGTGGGTCCTTGGTCTGCAACTGCCAATTAAAGAGATTATAGGGTAACAGTGACAGCAACACTGCAGCTGAAAGGGACAAGCAAAGCTTGCTAGTCAGTGTGAGCCTACAGGTGGCTCAGAAGACAAAGGCGTCAGCTGGGAGGGGTGACTCACACCTGTAATCTCAACACTTTGGGAGGCCAAGGGCAGGGTGGGGGGCAGATCACAAGCTCAGGAGTTCAAGCCTGGTGAATATAGCGAAACCCCGTCTCTCCCAAAAATATAAAAGAAATTAGCCAGGTGTGGTGGCGGGCTTACCTGTAGTTCTAGCACTTTGGGAGAGAGGTGCATGGATCATGAGGTCAAGGATTGAGACCATCCTGGCCAACATGGGGAAACCCTGTCTCTGCTAAAAATACAAAAATTAGGCCAGGCACAATGGCTCACACCTGTAATCCCAGCACTTTGGGAGGCCGAGGCGGGTGGATCACAAGGTCAGGAGTTCAAGACCAGTCTGGACAACATGGTGAAACCCCGTCTCTACTAAAAAAAAAAAAAATACAAAAAATTAACTGGGCATGGTGGTGTGCATCTGGAGTCCCAGCTGCTCAGGAGGCCGAGGCAAGAGAATTGCTTGAACCCAGGAGGCAAAGGTTGCAGTGAGCCGAGATCGCACCACTGCACTCTAGCCTGGGTGACAAAGCGAGAGTCCGTCTCAAAACAAAACACAAAACAGAAATTAGCTGGGTGGTGATGCTCGCCACCTCCATCTTCACCTCCTCTTTGTATTACTATTATTATTTTTGAGATGAAGTTTTGCTCTTGTTGCCCAGGCTGGAGTGCAATGGCACAATCTTGGCTCATCACAACCTCCGCCTCCCATGTTCAAGTGATTCTCCTGCCTCCCAAGTAGCTGGGATTGCAGGCATGCGCCACCACGCCTGGCTAATTTTGTATTTTTAGTAGAGACAGGGTTTCTCCATGTTGGTCAGGCTGGTCTTGAACTCCGGACCTCAGGTGATCTGCCCACCTCGGCCTCCCAAAGTGCTGGGATTACAGGCGTGAGACACCTTGCCCAGACTTTTTTTTTAAGATGGAATCTCACTCTGTCACCTGGGGTGGAGTGCAGTGGCACTATCTTGGCTTATTGCAACCTCCACCTCCCAGGTTGAAGCAATTCTCTTGCCTCAGCCTCCTGAGTAGCTGAGATTACAGGTGTGTACCACCACACCCAGCTAATTTTTGTATTTTTAGTAGAGACGGGGTTTCACCATTTGTCAGGCTGGTCTTCCACTGCCCTGGGCCTCCCAAAGTGGGAATAAAACTTTTTAATGCTCATTTGTTATATATATATATATTAATATCTGCCTTTGAGCCACAACAGCACAGGTGAGTAGTTCTGTAAAAGCTAAAATATTATTTTGCCTTTTACAGAAAAAGTCTGTGGTTGGGCACGGTGGCTCACGCCTGTAACTCCAATACTTTAGGAGGTCAAGGAAGACTGCTTGAGCCCAGGAGTTAGAGACCAGCCTGGACAACATGGTGAGACCCCATCTCTAAAAAATAAAAATAAAAAAGCTTGTTGGCCCCTGGGCTGGACCAGTGGCTCCCCTTCTACTGATAAGAAATTTGAGGAACAGAGAAAATGACTGGCCCGAGATGACACAGCAAGTCAATCGCAGAAATAACTCTGGCTCCCTTTAAGTGCTCTTTTCACTTCATTACGACATAAAAGCAGAAAACAAAGGTTTCTCAGCTTCTCATGTCAATGACTAGACTACTTGGTCCTTTTATCTTCCTCATCTCTGTTCATTCTCATCCTTGTCTAACCTAGGTTCCAGTATGGGTAGCTGCATCTGTAACCTCGAGAGGGCAGCACTGGTTACGATGAACCAAAATACAATCTCTTATCTGTGACCCAAAAAGGAAATAAGTCCTGTCCTAAGGGAAAAAAGGAAAATGCATTAGAAAGGGTCTCAATTGCTTCTGATGATACATATGCATTCATACCAGCATAAATGTAAGGTTTTCCTTTTTTTAAAAAAAAACTGCCGGGCTGGGCACGGTGGCTCACGCCTTTGGGAGGCCAGCGGGTGGATCCCAGCACTTTGGGAGGCCGAGGCGGGTGGATCACGAGGTCAAGAGATTGAGACCATCCTGGTCAACATGGTGAAACCCCGTCTATACTAAAAATACAAAAAAAAAAAAATTAGCTGGGCATGGTGGCGTGTGCCTGTAATCCCAGCTACTCAGGAGGCTGAGGCAAGAGGCGGAGGTTGAACCCAGGAGGCGGAGGTTGCAGTGAGCCGAGATCGCGCCATTGCATTCCAGCCTGGGTAACAAGAGCGAAACTGCGTCTCAAAAATAAATAAATAAATAAATAAATAAAAACTGCCACTGGGCATGGTGGCTTATGCCTGTAATCCCAGCATTTTGGGAGGCCGAGGTGGGTAGATCATGAGGTCAGGAGTTTGAGACCAGCCTGACCAACATGGTGAAACCCTGTCTGTATTAAACACACACACAGAAAAATTAGCCGGGTGAGCAGATTTGGCTCACCTGCAATCCCATCTACTCAAGAGGCAGGAGAATTGCTTGAACCCGATGCGGAAGTTGCAGTGAGCCAATATCACTCCATTGCACTCCAGCCTGAGCTACAGAGTAAAACTCAGTCTCAAAAAAAAAAAAATTGCCAAAGGTAAATTCAAGCACAAAAAATCCCCACATTCAGCTAGAGTGGAAAGCATAGGCAAGACAGGCATTTGAGAGAAGCACCCAGAGACACTTTTTTTTGTTTGAGACAGAGTCTCACTGCAGTGGCACGATCTGGGCTCTCTGCAACCAACCTCCATCTTCTGGGTTCAAGCGATTCCCTGCCTCAGCCTCCCAAGTAGCCGGGACTACAGATGTGCACCACCATGCCCGGCTAATTTTTGTTATTTTAATAGAGATGGGGTTTCACTATGTTGGCCAGGATGGTCTCAATCTCCTGACCTCATGACCTGCCCACCTCAGCCTCCCAAAGTGCTGGGATTACAGGTGTGAGCCACTGTGCTCGGCCCCTAGAGACACTTTTAAGTGTTTTCTGGGGAAAAAAAAAATGTGTTTTCTGAGCACTGGGGGAACACGAAGAGAGAGAAAATTAGATCTTAGAGAGCCCAAGGGACAGTTTTAAGTAGGCGAGTGGAACTAGACTCATGACCCAGATTTGTCTTTGTCTGACTAAAGAAGAGGTTCCATCTTTTTATTCTGGGATGTCCAATCATAAAACGGGGCTAGTAGGGCTTGCAGCCAATGAGATATTTATGAAGTACAACTAATGTATGCAAAGGGCTTTGAGATCCTTCAGATTAACAAGTGCCCTGTGCAAGGTGCAAGATGGACAGATATATTTTGGGGGTGTCACCATTGTTTAGCAAGGCAGTGGGGAAAAAAGTAGGTTACGTGACACAATCCTTCAACGTGACCCAGAACTGGTCCATAGGAAATTTGTACAGACTATCACATCAGATGGTAGAAAGAAACATCACTGAAAATGCATAAATCCCCAGAGGCAGAATGGTTAGCTTCATGATGCAAAGTCATGCCTAGAGCAATCTGGTGAGGCTATTCAGTAAAACACATTTGTTACTTCTCACTTTACAGGGAAGGGGACCGAGTCACATCACTCAGTAAATATCTGTCCTTAGACTGAACTTGGCTTCTAAGATTTTCTGACAACTGAGAATTTTTTTTTCTTAATTTCTTTTTAAAATTTTTTTTTTTTTTTTTGAGATGGAGTTTTGCTGTTGTTACCCAGGCTGGAGGGCAATGGTGCAATTTCGGCTCACTGCAACCTCCGCCTCCTGGATTCAGGCAATTCTCCTGCCTCAGCCTCCCGAGTAGCTGGGATTACAGGCACGCGCCACCATGCCCAGCTAATTTTTTGTATTTTTGGTAGAGATGGGGTTTCACCATGTTGACCAGGATGGTCTCGATCGCTTGACCTCGTGATCCACCCACCTCGGCCTCCCAAAGTGCTGGAATTACAGGCATGAGCCACCGTGCCCGGCCTTAATTTTTTTTTTAAGACGTGGTTTCACCATGTTGGTCAGGCTGGTCTTGAACTCCCAACCTCAGGTGATCTGCCTGCCGTGACCTCCAAAGTGCTTGGATTACAGGCGTGAGCCACCACGCCCTGCCTAAAATTTAATATTTTTTAAAAAACGTTTGTCATCCTTGCGCAAGGGCCATGCTAATCTTCTCTGTATCGTTCCAATTTTAGTATATGTGCTGCTGACGAGAGCACAGAGAACTGAGCATTTTTTCTAAATAATCTTCAATGGCCTGGCACTGGGTTAATAGCAGGAACCGGCCGGGTGTGGTGGCTCACGCCTGTAATCCAAGCACTTTGGAGGCCAAGTGGGGCAGATCACCTGAGGTCAGGAGTTCGAGACTAGCCTGGCCAAAATGGTGAAACCCTGCCACTACTAAAAATACAAAAATTAGCCAGGTGTGGTGGAAAGCACCTGTAATCCCAGCTACTCAGGAGGCGGAGGCCAGAGAATTGCTTGAACCCAGGAGACGGAGGTGGAGGTTGCAGTAAGCCGAGATCACACCATTGCACTCCAGCCTTGCGGACAAGAACAAGTCTTCGTCTCAAAAAAAAAAAAAAAAAAAGAAAAAAGAAAGAAAGAGATGATGGCGTGACTTGATTCACTTCTTGCAGATATTCTATCAGGACCAATAGTAAGGGCTTCTAGGAATAAAATCTCAGTAGACAGGAAACTGCCTTCAAACTTCAGCAATCAAGAATATTACTTACGGCCGGGCGCAGTGGCTCACGCCTATAATCCCAGCACTTTGGGAGGCCAAGGCGGGTGGATCACAAGGTCAAGAGATCAAGACCATCCTGGTCAACAAGGTGAAACCCTGTCTCTACTAAAAATACAAAAATTAGCTGGGCATGGTGGTGCGTGCCTGTAGTCCCAGCTACTCAGGAGGCTGAGGCAGGAGAATTGCTTGAACCCAGGAGGCGGAGGTTGCAGTGAGCTGAGATCGTGCCATTGCACTACAGTCTAGGTAACAACAGCGAAACTCCATCTCAAAAAAAAAAAAAAAAAAAAAAAAAAAAGAATCTTACTTTAGCCCCTGGAATGCATAAGAAAATGGAAATGCACTGAATGAATCTTTACAAAATTTTATCAGCCAGAACTTTGGTCCAGATCAGTCCTATAATATTCAGGAAGACCATACAGATTCCTCATGAAAGTCAACAGTGCAGTTTATTGCAGTTTACAGTGCAGTATGATTAGTTAGGAAGGAATTAAGAAATCCTTAGCAGAAATATCCATACATTTAAAACATCTGGTTAGGCACAGTGCTCATGCCTGTAACCCCAGCACTTTGGCAGGCTTAGGCAGGCAGATCATCAGAGGTCAGGAGTTCAAGCTACTCAAGGGGCTGAGGTGAAAGAATCACTTGAAACCAGGAGGCAGAAGATGCAGTGAGCTGAGATCACACCACTGCACTGCAGCCTGAACAGAGTGAGACTCCATCTAAAAAAAAAAAAAAAAAAAAAAAAACTTAAGGGCCAGGCGCAGTTGCTCATGCCTGCAATCCCAACACTTTGGGTGGTTGAGGTGGGTAGATCATAAGGTCAGGAGTTCGAGACTAACCTGGCCAACATAATGAAACCCTGTCTCTACTAAAAATACAAAAAATGAACCAGGTATGGTGGCAGGCACCTGTAATCCCAGCTACTCAGGAGGCTGAGGTAGGAGAATTGCTTGAACCTGGGAGGTGGAGGTTACAGCGAGCTGAGGTTGCACCATTACACTCCAGCCTGGGCAACAGTGTGAGACTCCATCTCAAAAAACAAACAAACGAAAAGTTAATTCTGTTACACAGAAAAGTAAATGTAAAACTCTAATGCTTTATTTGCTTTGGAAAGTATAATCTACCAAAAAGAAAAAAAAAAAGAAAAGAAAAAAGAGGGTGGAGTGGGTGCAGTGGCTCTCATGTCGGCACTTTGGGAGGCCACAGGCGGATCGCTTATGCCCAGTAGTTCAAAATCAGTGTGGGCAACACAGCAACATCCCATCTCTCCAAAAAATACAAAAATTAGCAGAGCATGGTGGTGTGTGCCTGTTGTCCTAGCTACTTGGCAGGCTGAGGTGGGAAGATGGCTTGAGCTCAGGAGGTGGAGAGGTTGCATTTGGGGTCAGAATTTCGAGACCAGCCTGGCCAACATGGTGAAACTCCATCTCTACTAAAAATACAAGATTAGCCAGGTGTGGTGGTGCATGCCTGCAATCCTCCCTACTCAGGAGGCTGAGGCAGGAGAATCACTTGAACCTGGGAGGTGGAGGTTGCATTGAGCCTAGATCATGCCACTGCACTCCAGCCTGGGCAACAGGAGCAAACCTTGAGAGAAAGAGAAGAAAGAGAGAGAGGGAGAGAAGAAGAGAAAGAAAGAGGGAGGGAGGGAAGGAAGGAATAAATAAATAAAGAAGAGCAAGCCAGGCATGATGGCTCATGCCTATAATCCCAGCACTTTGGGAGGCCAAGGTGGGTGGATCATGAGGTCAGGAGATCAAGACCATCCTGGCCAACATGGTGAAACCCCATCTTCTACCAAAATGCAAAAAATTAGCTGGGTGTAGTGGTACACGCCTGTAGTCCCAGCTACTCAGGAGGCTGAGGCAAGAGAATCACTTGAACCCAGGAGGCGGAGGTTGTAGTGAGCCAAAATTGAGCCAGTGTACTCCAGCCTGGCCACAGAGCAAGACTCCCTCTAAAAAATAATAATAAAGGAAGAAAGAGAGAAAGGGAGAGAGAGAGGGAGGGAGGGAGGGAATCCAATCCTTTAAACTGGTGTACTCTACCATTTTTCCTCTCTTAATTTGGAAAAATGAAGCATAGACTATTTTTTGTTTGTTTGTTTTTTTAAGACAGAGTCTTGCTCTATTGCCCAGGATGGAGTGCAGTGGCACAATCTCGCCTCACTGCAACCTCCACCTCCTGGGTTCAAGTGATTCTCCTGCCTCAGCCTCCTGAGTAGCTGAGAATACAGACATGCACCACCACACCCAACTAATTTTTTTTTTTTTTTTTTTTGAGATGGAGTCTCGCTTTCTTACCCAGGCTGGAGTGCAAATGGCACAATCTTGGCTCCCTGCAACCTCTGCCTCCCAAGTTCAAGTGATTCTTCCACCTCAGCTTCCTGAGTAGCTAGGATTACAGGTACCTGCCATCATGTCCAGCTAATTTTTATACTTTTGCAGAGATGGGATTTCACCATGTTGGCCAGGCTGGTCTTGAACTCCTGACCTCAGGTGATCTGCCTGCCTCGGCCTCCCAAAGTGCTGGGATTACAGCCGTGAGCCACAGTGCCCAGCCAGCATAGCTAATTATCTTGACTCTGTCTCTTGGTCAATTAGTGGCATTTCTTGCATGGACTTGCTCAAGCACATTTGCTTGCCAGCATCTGCCCCCGTACATTCCAGCTTCCGGTCCTCTACTAGCTGAACTATCAAAAGCCAATTGCTTTGCTTATGCAGCCCTTCCCTCCTACTTCAGGACTCAGATCATCCCATCAATTCTTTTCACTCTCCAACCCACATTAATTCTCTACTCAATCAGCAGTATTGTGCAAAATTATTTCTTCTACCTTAAAAACTTGCCGGGCTTGTTGTTTCATGCCTGTAATGCCAGCACTTTGGGTGGCTGAGGTGGGCAGATCACCTGAGGTTGGGAGTTCGAGACCAGCCTGACCAACATGGAGAAAACTCATCTCTACCAAAAATAAAAAATTAGCTGGGCATGCTGGCAGTCACCTGTAATCCCAGCTACTTGGGAGGCTGAGGCAGGAGAATTGCTTGAACCTGGGAAGCAGCGGTTGCAGTGAGCCAAGATCATGCCATTACACTCCAGCCTGGGCAACAAGAGCAACACTCTGTCTCAAAAAAAAAAAAAGTACAAACTTATCTTCATCTCTTTTCCCCAGACGCTCACCGCTTACCTGCTACCAGTCCATTTTTTCTGTTCTCCTTTTGTAGTAAGTTCCTCCAAGTATTTACTGAAAAAAATGCAGGATAAATGACCCTTGTTTAACATAAAATAAGTAAATTTTAGTAAAAGAAAACTTGTGCAAAAGAAAAAAAGAAAGAGCGAGTGAGCCAGGCAAAAAAAAATTAGCTGGGCATGGTGGCACATGCCTGTAATCCCAGCTACTCAGGAGTTGAGGCAGGAGAATCGCTTAAACCAGGGAAGTGGAGGTTGCAGTTAGCGAAGGTCATGCCATTGCACTCCAGCCTGGGCGACAGAGCGGGACTCCATTTCTAGAGAAGAAAATCACGGGCCAGGCACGGTGGCTCATGCCTGTAATCCCAGCACTTTGGGAGGCTGAGACGGGTGGATCACCTGAGGTCAGGAGTTCAAGACCAGCCTGGCCAATGTGGTGAAACCCCCCCTTTCTACTAAAATTACAAAAATTAGCTAGCTGGGCATGTGGTGCATGCCTGTAATTTCAGCTACTCCGGAGGCTGAAGCAGGAGAATTGCTGGAACCAGGAAGGTGGGGGTTGCAGTGAATGGAAATAATGTGATTGCACTCCAGCCTGGGTGATAAGAGTGAGACTCTGACTCGAAAAGAAAAAGAGGAAAGGAAAGGAAAGGGAGAAGGGAAGGGAAAAGGGAAGAATGAAAGGGAGGGAGGGAGGGAGGGAGGGAGGGAGGGAGGGAGGGAGGAAGGAAGGAAGGAAGGAAGGAAGGAAGGAAGGAAGGAAGGAAGGAAGGAAGGAAGGAAGGAAAAGGTTCTCTTTCTTGGAAAGGCAATAAACATCAAGAGTTTGTGACCAGACTGGGCAACACAACGAGACCCTGTCTCTACAAAAATATGTAAAAGTTAGCCAGGGCTGGTGACATGCTCTTGTAGTTCCAGATACCTGGGAGGCTGAGGCAGAGAGGGGAAGATCCCTTGTGCCCAGGAGTTAAAAGCTGCAGTGGAGCCATGATCACATCACTGCTGGGTGACAGAGCAAGACCCTGTCTCAAAAAAACATCCAGGCCAGGCGCCATGGTTCACACCTGTAATCCCAGCATTTTGGGAGGCCGAGGTGGGTGGATCACCTAGGTCAGGAGATCGAGACCAACCTGGCTAACACCCTGACTAACATGGTGAAACCATCCTGGCTAACAGTGAAACCCTGTCTCTACTAAAATACAAAAAAATTAGCTGGGTGTGGTGGTGAGCACCCGTAGTCCCAGCTACTTGGGAGGTTGAGACAGAAGAATCGCTTGAACATGGGAGCCGTAGGTTGCAGTGAGCTGGGATCATGACACTGCACTCCAGCCCAGCAACAGAGCAAGAATCCAACTCTTAAAAAAAAACAAAAAACCACGCCAGCCTTGGTGGCTTATGCCTGTAATCCCAGCACTTTGGGAGGCCAAGGCAAGTGGATCACCTGAGGTCGGGAGTTCAAGACCAGCCTGACCAACATGGAAAAACCCCGTCTCTACTAAAAAATACAAAATTAGCCAGACATGGTGGTGCATGTCTGTAATCCCAGCTACTTGGGGGGCTGAGGCAGAAGAATCACTTGAACCTGGGAGGCAGAGGTTGGTGAGCCGAGATCATGCCATTGAAATCTAGCCTAGGGGACAAGAGTGAAACTCCATCTCAAAAAAAAAAACACTGAAAACATCCAGCATGGCATTTGTACACAGTGTCCCCAAGATAATGGATACCACACATACTTTTTTATCTTCTTTTGAAAGATAAATCTTTTTTTTTTTTTTGAGACAGAGTTTTGCTCTTGTTGCCCAGACTGGAGTGCAATGCCATGATCATTGCTCACTGCAACCTCCGCCTCCTGGGTTCAAGTGATTCTCCTACCTCAGCCTCCCAAGGAGTTGGGGTTACAGGCGTGCACTACCACACCAGGCTAATTTTTTTTGTGTGTTAGCAGAGATAGGCAATAAACATCAAGAGTTTGTGACCAGACTGGGCAATACAATGAGACCCTGTCTCTACAAAAAAATGTAAAAGTTAACCTTGCTAGCCAGGATGGTCTCGATTCTCCTGACCTGGGGTTATCTACCCACCTTGGCCTACCTAAGTGCTAGAATTACAGGCATGAACCACCATGCCTGCCCCCCCACCAAAAAAAACTTTCTTAAAATTTAATACTCTGTCCCGGAGTAGACCAGAATAAAAGCGGAAAAAAAAAATTTAATACTCTCCAAGAAGTGGAATTTTCATGACGTATACTCTACACATAACTAATGCAGTAACCATCAGAAATACATCTCAAGTCAGCCAGGCACAGCGCTCATACCTGTAATCCCAGCACTCTGGGAGGCTGAGGTGGGTGGATCATGAGGTCAGGAGTTTGAGACCAGCCTGACCAACATGGTAAAACCCTGCCTCTTCTAAAAAAAAAAAAAAAAAAAAAGAGCTGGGCATGGTGGCACATGCCTGTAATCCCAGCTACTCAGGAGTTGAGGCAGGAGAATCGCTTAAACCAGGGAAGTAGAGGTTGCAGTGAGCCAAGGTCATGTCATTGCACTCTAGCCTGGGGGACAGAGCGGGACTCCATTTCTAGAGAAGAAAATCACGGGCCAGGCATGGTGGCTCATGCCTGTAATCCCAGCACTTTGGGAGGCCGAGGCGGGCAGATCAGGAGGTCAAGAGATCAAGACCATCCTGGCCAACATGGTGAAACCCTGTCTCTACCAAAAAATACAAAAATTAGCTGGGTATGGTGGCATGTGCCTGTAGTCCCAGCTGCTCGGGAGGCTGAGGCAGAATTGTTTGAACCCGGGAGGCAGGCAGAGGTCACAGTGAGCCAAGATTGCGCCACTGCACTCCAGCCTGGCACCTGGCGACAGAGTGAGACTCTATCTCAAAAAAAAAAAAAAAGAGAGAGAGAGAGAGAAAAGAAAATCACAATACCGTGTCTGAGTCAAAGATCCTACTTGGGACCTTCAAATCTTGTCTTTATTTTTTCTTTTTTTGTTTTTTTGAGATGGAGTCTTGCTCTGTCTCCCAGGCTGGAGTGCAGAGGGTGATCTCAGCTCAAGGAAACCTCTGCCTCCCAACTCCAAAAAACTGAATCCCTAAATCACTAGCAGTATAAATCAATGTAAATGGCAGAAATATAGTGTGTGCTAGGATAAAGGAAAAACAGGTGAAGATGTTATTCTACATAAGCTGGAGAGCAACATTTCATAAAAAATTAGAAAATGTACACTGAGACTCCTGCCTCAGTCTCCTGAGTAGCTGGAACTACAGGTGCGCATCACTATGCCCCGCTAATTTTTTCTGTATTTTTTAGTAGAAACAGGGTTTCACCATATTGGCCACGATGGTCTTGATCTTCTGACCTCATGAGCTGCCTGACAGCCTCCCAGAGTGCTGGGATTACAGGTGTGAGCCTCTGCACCTGCCTTGTTTTCTTTTTTGAGAAATAATTTATTATTCATATCATCATGGAGCAGGTATGAGGCCAGAAGGAGACCACGTCCTGAGAATGTACCAAACAATTCCTCTGGAAGCCCTAAGGTTTTGAGTTCCCACTTGCTGCACTGACCCAGGGACTTCCTAAAACAGAAGGTACTTTCCAACATCACAGTCTCTGGCATCTTCCCCTCTAAGTCTCACCGTCAGGCTTTTCCAAAGGTCATACTTACTGGGGTTTTTTTTGTTTGTTTTTTGAGATGAAGTTTCACTGTTGTTACCCAGACTGGAGTGCGATGGCGCAATCTCGGCTCACCTTCTGGGTTCAAGCAATTCTCCTGCCTCAGCCTCCCGAGTAGCTGGGACTACAGGCGCGAACCACCATGCCCAGCTAATTTTTGTATTTTTAATAGAGATGGGGTTTCACCTTGTTGACCAGGATGTCTGGATCTCTTGACCTCGTGATGCTGGGATTATGGGCGTGAGCCACCACGCGGCCCAGCCACTGTTTTTTGTTTTGTTGTTTTCAATCCATTCTAACAAAACTTTTGCCCCACTACTTCCTGCAGAGGCTCTTGTCAAGGTCACCAATGACTTCCACTTGCTCATACAATACTCAATTTTCATGCCTCAACTTAATTTCTCAGCAGCATTTCACCATTGAGCATTCCCTCCTCCATTTTTTTTTTTTTTTTTTTTGAGACAGAGTCACTTAGTAGCCCAGGTTGGAGAGAAGTGCTGCAACCTTGACTCACCGCAGCCTCTGCCCCTCGGGTTCAAGAGATTCTCCTGCCTCAGCCTCCCCAGTAGCTAGGACTACAGACACATGCCACCACACCCAGCTTTTTTAAATTTTATTTTTATTTATTTATTTTGAGATGGAGTCTCACTTTGTTGCCAGGCTGGAGTGCAATGGCGGGATCTCAGCTCACTTCAACCTCTGCCTCCTGGGTTCAAGCAATTCTGCCTCAGCCTCCCAAGTAGCTGGGAATTCAGGTGTGTGCCACCATGCCCAGCTAACTTTTATATTTTTAATAGAGACGGGGTTTCACCATATTGGCCAGGCTTGTGTCAAACTCCTGACCACATGATCTGCCTGCCTCAGCCTCCCAAAGTGCTGGGATTACAGGTGTGAGCCACCGTGCCTGGCCACCTCCTCCATTTTCTTGACTTGACTCCTGGACACCACCCTTTCCTGGTTTTCCACCTAACTGGTTGTTACTTCTCATCCTGCTTTGCAAACCTTCTCAGACCTCTTAACAGTGGAGTGCCTCAGGGCTTCCTTGATTGTATTTCCTTCTATATTTACATTGTGATCTCTTCCAGTATGAGGCTTTAAATGCTATTTATAGGATAACTCTCTTACATACAAATACAGGTAATATTAAAAAAGGGCATATATATAAAAATATAAATCTCCAGAACTTCCTCCTAAACTCAAAACCCATATATCCAATAGCCCACCTGCACCTCCATTTGATATCTAATAAACACCTCAAATTGAACACACCCAAATTGAACTTCTAATCTTCTCCTGCAGAACTGCTCTATCCGGTCCTCCTTCATCACAACTCTTTCAGTTGCCCAGGTCAAAAATTGCCCAGGTCAAAAAATGTTTTGGCTCATCCTTGACTCCTCTTTTTATCAATCCCATGTTCCATCTACCAGAAAGTCTGCTTGAATTTACTGTCAAAATGTATCCAGGGCTAGGGCACAGTGGCTCACGCCTGTAATCTCAGCATTTTGGGAGGCCGAGGCAGGTGAATTACGAGATCAGGAGTTCAAGACCTGCCTGGCCAACATGGTAAAACCTCGTCTCTACTAAAAAATATAAAAATTAGCCTGGCATGACGGTGCATACCTGTAACCCCAGCTACTTGGAGGCTGAGGCAGGAGAATCGCTTGAACCTGGGAGGTAGAGGCTGCAATGAGCCAAGATCACGCCATTGCACTCCAGCCTGGGCTCCAGATCGAGATTTTATCACACACACACACACACACACAAATTAGCTGGGCAGTAGTGGCACACACCTGTTGTCTCAGCTACTCAGGGGGCTGAGGCAGGAGAAATGTTTGAGCCTGGGAGGCAGAAGTTGCAGTGAGCCGAGACTGCGCTACTGCACTCCAGTATGGGTGACAGAGTGAGACTCAGTCTCTCTCTCTCTCACACACACACACACATATATATCTTTCCAGGATATATAGATTTTGGTCATTAAAGCCACCCTCACCTTCACTTGGATTACTGATATGGCCAATTCATTCGGCTCCTGCTTCTATCCTAGGTCTTTTATTCTCAATATGTTGCGCAGTCTTTTAAAAACATGTCGGCCCAGCGCGGTGGCTCACGCCTGTAATCCCAGCACTTTGGGAGGCCGAGGCAGGTGGATCATGAGGTCAAGATATCGAGACCATCCTGGTCAACATGGTGAAACCCCGTCTATACTAAAAATACAAAAAATTAGTTGGGCATGGTGGCGCGTGCCTGTAATCCCAGCTACTCAGGAGGCTGAGGCAGGAGAATTGCGTGAACCCAGGAGGTGGAGGTTGCGGTGAGCCGAGATCGCGCCATTGCACTCCAGCCTGGGTAATGAGCGAAACTCCATCTCCACAAAAAAAAAAAAAAAAAAAAAAATTAAGAAAAAACATGTCAACATTAAAAGCCATAGAGACCCACTACGGTCTACCAGTCTACAGATCTGTCCCACACACTCCTCTGACTCTTTGACATTCATCCTATACTCCCCCTCTTGACCATTCTATTTCTTTTTCTTTTCTTGAGACTGGAGTTTCGCTCCTGTTGCCCAGGCTGGAGTGCAATGGTGCATTCTCTGCTCACCGCAACCTCTGCTTCCTGGGTTCAAACGATTCTCCTGTCTCAGCCTCCCGTAGCTGGGATTACAGGTATGTGCCACCATGCCCGGCTAATTTTTTTTTTATTTAGTAGAGACAGGGTTTCACCATGTTGGCCAGGATGGTCTCGATCTCTTGAACTCATGATCCACCCGCCTCGGCCTCCCAAAGTGCTGGGATTACAGGCATGAGCCACCGCGCCCAGCTTCAATTTTTTTTTTTTTAAGACGGAGTCTCCCTCTGTCACCCAGGGTGGAGTGCAGTGGCACAATCAAGGCTCACTGCAGCCTTGACTCACTTCCCAGGCTCAATTCTCTGACCTCAGCCTCCCAAGTAGTTGGGACCAGAGGTGCATGCCACCATGCCTGGCTAATTTTTATATTTTTTGTAGAGATGAGGTTTTACCATGTTACCCAGGTTGTAGTGCAGTGGTGCAGTCATAGCTCACTGTAACCTTAGACTCCCAGGCACAAGGAGTCCTTCTGACTCAGCATTGCTCGTAACTAGGACTACAGGCACACACCACGCCCAAGTAATTTTAACATTTTGTAGAGACGGTCTCACCATGTTGCACAGGTTGATCTGGAACTCCTGACCTCAAGCAATCTTCTCACCTCTGCCTCCCAAAGTGCTGGGATCACAGGCATGAGCCACCACACCCAGCTATGACCATTCTACTTTAACTACACTGATTTCCTTCTTCTATTTCATATGTGCCAGTCATGCTCCTCCTTGAAAGTCTTTTTATGATTCCCTCTGCAATCTCTTCCCTCTGTAATCCTTCACCTAGGATTACAGGTGTGTGACTTGGTGCCCCACCAAGGAGATATTTATTATCAGATGAGGAAGTTCCTTTTCATAACTGTATTTATTATGAAGAAGTGGTAGATTTTGTCAAATAGTTGAAAAGGAACTTCCTCATCTGATAATAAATATCTCCTTGGTGGGGCACTAAGTCACACACCTGTAATCCTAGTACTTTGGGGAGCTGAAGCAGGAAGATCGCTTGAGTCAAGGAGTTAGAGCCTGAGGTGAACTAGAATTACACCACTGCATTTCAGTCTGGGTGACAGCGAGACCCTTTCTCTAAAAATGTACAAATAAGGCCAGGGGTGGTGGCTCACACCTGTAATCTGGTCCAGAGGTGGTGGCTCACACCTATAATCTGAACACTTTGGGAGGCCAAGGTGGGCGGATCACAAGGTCAGGAGATTGGGACCATCCTGGCTAACAGAGTGAAACACTGTCTGTAGTAAAAATACAAAAATTAGCTGGGCATAGTTGTGGGCACCTGTAATCCCAGCTACTCTGGAGGCTGAGGCAGAAGGATCACTTGATCCCAGGAAGCGAAGGCTGCAGTGAGCCGAGATCCCATCAGTGCACTCCAGCCTGGGCAACAGAGTGAGACTCTGTTTCAAAAATATGTATGTACAAAAAAAGTTAAAAACCATCTCCTTCTTGAGGCCTACCCTAACCACCTCATTTAAAATTACAAGACTTGCTTCATCTCTATTATCCTTCACTCTATATTTACCATTGCACTTGCCACTTCTATTAATTTCCTTATTGTCTGTCTCCCTTCTCCACCAGGGTAAGCTCCATGAGAACAGGGATATTTGCTTTGTTTTTATTCAGTGATATACCTAAGCACCAGAAACAGGCTCTGGTACATTGTTTGATGCTCAATAATTGTTAAACAAGTTTAAATCCTGACTTTTCAGTCTTTTTGATATGTTATCTAACTAGGTCACTTATACCATAAAACATCTACAGGTTTTACATAATCTGCATAGCTGTCAAGATAGAATTTTGCTCTAGAGTTGACCATTTTGTACTCTGGCATGACAAACAAACGTTGAGTGACCCAGGAGCATTGTTTACTTTTTTTTTTTTGAGATGGAGTTTTGCTCTTGTTGCTCAGGCTGGAGTACAGTGGCACAATCTCAGCTCACTGCAACCTCCACCTCCCGGTTTCTAGCAATTCTCCTGCCTCAGCCTCCAGAATAGCTGGGACGACAGGCACCTGCCACCACCCCCAGCTGATTTTTGTATTTTTAGTAGAGACAGGGTTTCACCATATTGGTGAGGCTAATCTCGAACTCCTGATCTCAGGTGTTCCATCTACCTCAGCCTCCCAAAGTGCTGGGATTACAGGTGAAAGCCACTGTGCCCAGGCTTTTTTTTTTTTTTTTTTTTTTTGAGACTGAGTCTCACTCCGTCATACAGACTGGAGTGCAGTCGTGTGATCTTGGCTCACAGCAACCTCCACTTCCAGGCTTCAAGCAATTCTCTTGCCTCAGCCTCCCGAGTAGCTGGGACTATAGGCGCACGCCACCACGCCCAACTAATTTTTATATTTTGTTAGTAGAGACGGGGTTTCACCATGTTGGCCAGACTGGTCTCGATCTCCTGACCTGTTGATCTGCCCGCCTCAGCCTCCCAAAGTGCTAGGATTACAGGCGTGAGCCACCATGCCCCGCTGTCTTTCTTATTTTTCTAAGAAGCATACTGTTGTTGCAAGTATTTGTTCCTTGAACTCCAATACTTCTGAAGTGTAGGAAAGCATTTTATAACCAACTCTCTGAATGTTCTGCCTCAAAGGAGAAAAAATTATTACACGATGTGGGAGTGCTAACTGCTGCCAAAAATATTTTGAAGGACTTCCCACATTATTAAACCGACTAAAGAAGTTCATGTATCTTTACGGGTAAAAAGTTATTGTTTTAAATTCTCTCCTATTTCAGAATTTGGCATGAGAAGCTGTTCTTTCCTTGAACAATGGATAGGGATTATTATGGTTTCTATCCATTGTTCAGAAAAGCAGCCCAGAAACTTTGTCAAATGCCAAAAAAAAAAAAAAAGAAAAAGAAAAAAAGAACAAATCCAAAGGCATGAGCAAAAGGGGCCTAGTCCACACCATTTCTATTCTGCATTGTCTGTCTTAAGGATCTGGGTCGAATCAAAGGTTTTGGTTAACATCTACCCTCTTCTAGGGAGCATATATGTGGTACAAATTAATTCAGACACCTCGGTTTTAGAGTAAGAAAAACTACAGGAACAATGAATTAGCAGTTCTGGAATTTGCTAGTCTGGTATAGCCTGACAAACACAAACGAGATCCAGGACTATATAAACAAAGGCCTTTTCACCTCTGGGGCAGATCATGAGATGTGGTGATTCAATCTGCTTATTTGAGGATGGTTCTCTGCATATTTAAAGTTCACCAGTTCTAACAGTGTTTGGGGTTTTTCCGGTTAGGAAGCTAGGTCGATATGAGTATGGTGGAGGAGGTTAGCCTGGATTTCTGTTCAACTGTTTTGCAAATGTACGCCCTGGTCATAAGGGAGACGTCAACAGTGCAAACACCACCCACTCTTTAAGAAAATACAAATTAACATCATTTTTTTGTACAATAAAAGGATGTGCTGTGTTAAATGTAATGGTTAAAGGTATGTGTTTATATATAAAAATGAACCCAAGGAATTAGGACTGTTTAAACAGATCCTTCTGAACTGCCCAGATAATTAGAGCCATAATTTGCCTGAGTTATCAGGCTACTGTAATAGACTCCAAATTTCCAATAAAACTCATGCTTTTAGAGTATTTCATTTTCGTTGCACAGGCAAAAAAGAAAAAAACCCCACAGCATTAACAAATATATATATATATGTTCTGTAGGCTCTCACTGCGAAAATGAAGGACAAGCCAGGAGCGGTTCCTCATGCCTGTAATCTCAACACTAGGAGAGGCTCTCTTGAGCCCAGATGCTGGAGACCAGCGGGGCAACAAGGCGAAACCCCACCTTAAAAAATTAGCCCGGGGTGGTGGTTCGTACCTATTGTCTCAGCTACAATGAAGGCTGAGGTGGGTGGATCACCTGAGCCCAGGGAAGTTAAGCCTGCAGTGAGCCATGATTTCGCCACCGCCAAGACAGTAAGGCCGTCTCAAAAACAAAAGGACAGTTCATGCCAAAAGACTTACACAATCTTAAACTATGGTATAAAAATTTAAAGCTCTATGCAGTGCTTTAAGTTTGGTCATAATGGAACTAAATTATTTGGAATCCAAAAGCCTCTTCTATTTCTTTCATCTAGAAGCCATCAAATCCTGATCAATTCCGTCAACAACAGATGTTTACCTTTTAACCTTATCATTATGAGCTTTATTCCTTATTGCTGAAACAAATAATTCCCTGTAATTACACATAGTAAGAAAACAAAAAGCCTGCGGCAGCTGAGCCACCAATAGATTTGGCTGCCTCTTTTACGAACTCACGCTGTGGTGAAGAAAAACAAACTTAAAAAAAAACAAAACATTAAACAAAAAAAAAAGTTGTACAAAAGCAAAGGGGGAAGACAAATTTAGCAGCACTTCTCTTGAATTTCCTGGCTTTGTTGATTTCAAGCCACAACCTTAACATTAAAACACCAAGACTTACATTTAAATATTTTTGAAACAGAAAAACAATAGCTCTTTCAGGATTTGAAATAACGCTGGCAGGCACACAATAGATTCTATTAGGTCAATGTATTATTTACATACTCATCTGGGATTTTAAAAAGAAGTTAAATGGGAAATGTTCTAAACAGACAGAAATAAGATACTCAAATCTATTGTTCAAGTTTATGGCTCAGATACAATGGGCTATAAACCCGTATCTGGAGAACAGTTGCGCAGTGCGTGCTTAATGGCCAGCCAATGAAAAGCAACGTCTCATTCTCCTCCGCTTTCCAGCACGTCAAAGACATCCTTTTTTGTTTTTTTTTTTAAAAAAAAGCCCAACCGCTAGAGACATCGGGTTTTTAGCACCTTTGTGAGGTCTCCCGGCAGCTGAGGAAGATCTAAGGGGCGACCTCTGCAGTTGGGCTATTTGCAGAGCGCCATGATCGCCTAAAGCCGGGCACCCGCACGGGTTCGTTACCGGCAACAGCTCAAAGCTCTAGACAACCACTTCTCACGGCTGAGTTCCCCTCAACCAAAAAAAAAAAAAGTGTTCCCTACACCCTGCAAGAGTGGGGTGAGAAATCCCACTTTAGAAGGGCTTGCAAGGCGGAAGAGAGTTGGAGCCTTGCGCACGCCCAGCCCGCGCCGCAAGGTTCACACGCCGCGTGGCCGCTCGGAAGTAACCCGGTTCCGAAGCGGTCGGCGGTCTACACTGGGGCCTCCAGCCGATAAAAGGAAGAACAAAGGGGACGCGCTCGCCCGCCGCCCCGCCCACAGGCCGCGCGAAATGGCGGCGGCCACATCACAAAATGGCAGCCGCTCGGCCGCTGAGAGGCATCTGCGAAGCGCTGTGGCTCCCTGCCCCCGCCCGGCCCCCCGAGCGCCAACGCCGTTCTGCCAGCCCAGGCGCCCGGCCTTCCCACGCCGCCCTGCGGCACCTGCGGCGGCGTCCGGAGCTGCCAACGACGCGGCCATTGTGCTGGCGCGCGCTACCTTTGCTCGGTCACACGGGCCCCTCTCCGCGGGGCTTTTCTTTAAAGGAGCAACAGACGCCCCCTCAGGCCCGGGGTTGCTGCGGTCTCCCCACACTCGCAGCGTTAGCGTCAGGCCACCAAAGCGAAGACGGACGGGGGAGGGACCACAGATCCCAAGAGGAGGGAAAACTTAGGAAAAAGCGGTGAAAGACGCCCTCAACCATGCTTCGGCAGCACCGCTGAGTCCTAACGTACTGAGCCCACTCGAGGGGGCCCGCACGCGCAGGCGACTCCAGAGGGCGGGTTTCGGCTTTCCTTCCACCTAGCAAACGTCCTGTGGCGCCCTAGGCTTCTCATGGCCACCCCCTGCCCTCTCCCCTCTCCCCGTGCTGACGGGTCCCGGAGGCTGAGCACTGCCGGAGGGAGGAGCGCCTGCCGCAGTCCCTGTGTTTTTTTCTCTGGCGTGAGGGTGTCAGTGGCCTTGGGCTCTGCTTGGGCCGTGGCTCGAAGGCTGAAGGTGTGACGGCGTGCTTGGGGTGTTTCGCTTTTTTCAAACGCTTGCCTCGTTGCGCTCATCTCCCAGCGTCGCTTTGGCTTCGTCTTTCCAGAAACTTCTCAAGGAAACTCAGCAAAAAGCCTGACTTAACGACTGCTTCCCTCTCCGCGCATGCGCGAGGTGCCGGGCGAAAAGCCCGGGGCGCGCCGGTGCGTGAGCGCGCGCGCGCTCGCCCGCCCGCTTTGCGGGGGCGGTTTTCTCTCACAATGAAGGGAACGGGTTTCCCCTCACCCAACGTTCCATCCTCGCGCAAGCGCGTCGGAGCCACACTGCCTTGGCCTTTGAGGGAGGGGGGAAGGATCGTCCCCAGCGCGCTAGTCGTGGTTCCGCGCGCCTGCGCACAGACCCATTTTCGTCTCGCTGTGTTGTCGGCGTCTTTAATGTGAAGTGCGTCTGAGCAGTTTCGCTTGTGCCCGAGTCGCTTTTGCCTCAAGGCCCGCTAGCGGAAGCTAGCTTCTTGTGGGGTTATCAATTCTGCACCACGAGTTTTCTAGAGATTAGTCTCCCCTTTGTGCCCCCGGGCTGAGGCTGGACGGCGTCGAGCCCTTCGCCATTTTTGGAATGGCTCTTGATTGGATCCCGTGTAGAGTGTGGTGGAGCCTTCTCGAAACGGGAAAACAGCTCTGGCCGAAGGCCTGGGTGGTGCCCGGGCCAGCTTACATCAGGCACTTCGTGGAATGTTTGCTCATTAAGCCCAAAGAAAGGTGTCTTTACTCTGGAGTGCAGTGGCACAGTCCCGGCTAACTGCAACCTCCGCCTCCCGGGTTCAAGCGATTCTCCTGCCTCAGCCTCTGGAGTAGCTGGGAATACAGGCGTCCACCACCACGCCCGGCTAGTTTTTGTATTTTTAGTAGAGACAGGGTTTCACCATATTTGCCAGGCTGGTCTCGAACTCCTGAGTTCAGGTGATCGGATGTTCTTGACCTCCCAAAGTGCTGGGATTACAGACATGAGCCATCGCGCTTTTTTTTTTTTCTTCTGAGACTAGGTCTTCCTGTGTTGCCCAGGCTGCTTTGGAGCTCCTGACCTCAGGCGATCCTCCCGCCTGGGGCTCCCAAAGGGCTGGGATTACAGGAGCCGCCATGCCCGGCCTTAAAAAAAAATTTTTTTTAAGGCTTTGAAAGGTGTCATTTTCTTTGGAATGGGGTGGGGCTTCTAGTGCCTGCCACAGTCCTCCGCTCAGGCCCGCGGGGCTGGTGCTGGGCTCGGCCTTGGTGCGTGGGTGCAGAGGGCCTCCGCCACACCTCCTTCTCCCTCTGCAGAATTGAGCTGTGCGGTGGTAACCATAGCGACCATACTTCCTCTTCACCCAGTGCTTCCCCTCCCTCTTGTGATTTAGGAGTGTAGTGGAAATTATTGCCAGGGTTATGGGTTCTTCAAAATACAAAAAGCCAAACCAAAACGAAAAAAACCCTCTTGTGTAATCAACTTCCCCTGCGTGCGAAGTTAGGGAAACGGGGGCGGCATGCCTCTGCCTCCCGCCTGCACACCGTCTCCTCAGGAGGCTGTCTGGTGAAGCACCCTTGTGTCCTTGCTGGCATAGCAGCCTCCCTAGACGTATTGTCCTGTGACACACTCCCAGGTCCTTGTAGGTGCCAGGCTTTAAAAAGGGAGCTGCTTCAAGAAGAAAGCACATCGGGGGCTCTTAGAGGCCAGCGTGGACACTGCAATCGGGGGAGAGCCGCTCGGAGAACCTGCGGCTCCAGGGAGGTGCTGACTCGGAGGGTGCGCGCGCACCACTGACCTCGCCAGTTTGGGGTCGGGCCGGGGCATCGCACTGGGTGGAGCCGTTCCTTGGCCCCTAACAAAGGAAGTGCTCATTGCTCGGTGGGAATTGTGAGTTGGTGCCAGAGTCCTACTAGGAACTAGGTATATAAAACCTATCTAGGGCCGGGCAGGGTGGCTCACGCCTGTAATCTCAGCACTTTGGGAGGCCGAGGCGGGCGGATCACCTAACATGAGGAGATCGAGACCATCCTGGCCAACATGGTGAAACCCCCGTCTCAAAAAAAAGAAAAAAAAAAAAACAACAAACCTATCTAGAGGGTGTTGAAGTTCCAGCAAGCAATAGAATTATCACAAGGCTGTAATTTGAGGCCTGAAAATGACCAGGTTAAATGTCTCTTGAATTCGTAGAATTTCTGTTACAGATTCTGTCTTAACATAAATTATACTTAATAGAGTCTTGTCTTTTTTTTCCTTCCTTTTTTTTTTTGAAACGGATTTTCACTTTTGTTGCCCAGGCTGGCGTGCAATGGGGCGATAACCTCCGCTCCCTGGCTCAAGCAATTCTGCCTCAGCCTTCCAAGTAGCTGGGATTACAGGAATGTGCCACCATGCCTGGCTAATTTTGTAAGCCACCGCACCCAGCCTAATAGTCTTTAAAATTGGCATAATTTGAAATAGGCATGATATCAAAGTCCTTTGGTGTTGTCTATAGGATCCTGGAGATGGATTTTATTTATTTATTTATTTATTTATTTATTTTTATTTCCGTGTCTCTCTGTGTGGCCTAGGCTGGAGTGCAGTGGCACAAACAGAATGCACTGCAGCCTCGACCTCCTGGGCTCAAGGGATTTTCCCACCTGCAGGCCTCTGCCACACACCGCTAATTTTTAAATTTTTTGTAGAGACAGGGGTCTTGCTGTGTTGTACAGGTTGGCCTGGAACTCTGGGGCTCAAATGATCCTCCCACTTCAGCCTTCCAAAGTGTTGGGGTTACAGGCGTGACCCATGGGGCAGGCCTGTTTGAATTATTTACTTCAAACTACAACCAGGTGTCTGAGAGGAGCAGCAGGGCAGCTTCAAAGAAATCTGGTGAAAATTTCCATTCATATGTAATAAGTTACAATTTATTTGGTATTTGAGATTTTATCAAATGCAGTTTGATAGCTTTCTCTGAATTAATCAGAAATCTTGGCCGGTTGTGGTTGCTCATGCCTGTAATCCCAGCATTTTGGGAGGCCGAGGCAGGGTATCACTTAAGGTTAGGAGTTTGAGACCAGCCCAGCCAAGGTGAAACTTCATCTCTGCTAAAAATATAAAAATTAGCCATGTGGTAATCTGAGCCTGTAATCCCAGCTACTTGGGAGGTTAAGGCACAAGAATCACTTGAACCCAGGAGGCAGAGGTTGCAGGGAGCTGAGATAGCACCACTGTACTCCAGCCTGGGCAACAGAGGGAGACTGCATCTAAAAAGGAAAAAAAAAAAAGAAGTCTTAATTTGCATTATTTATATTCTGCTTGCATCTTGATGGTGTAGATGTTACAATCTCCTAGACCTGGGTGTTTTGGCTAATGTGATTATCACTTATGGTGAAACAGTTAAGCTTTTCAATAATGGAGATTAGCGTTAGGGTCTTAAAAGTTTGAATGAGAGCCTGGCACCATGGTATTCACCTGTATTCAGGTGGTTGGAGCAGCAGGATCCCTTGAGCTCATGAGTTTGAGGTTGCAATGAGCTATGATCCTACCCCTGCACTCTAGCATGGGTGACAGAGTGACACTGTCTCAGAAAGAAAAAAAGAGGTTGAATAAAATATCTGAATTGGCTGGGCGCGGTGGCTCAAGCCTGTAATCCCAGCACTTTGGGAGGCCGAGGCGGGTAGATCATGAGGTCAAGAGATTGAGACCATCCTGGTCACCATGGTGAAACCCCGTCTCTACTAAAAATACAAAAATTAGCTGGGCATGGTGGCATGTGCCTGTAATCCCAGCTACTCAGGAGGCTGAGGCAGGAGAATTGCCTGAACCCAGGAGACGGAGCTTGCGGTGAGCCAAGATCGTGCCTTGCACTCCAGCCTGGGTAACAAGAGCGAAACTCTGTCTCAAAAAAAAAAAGAAAGAAAGAAATATCTGAATTAACATAGAGAGTAAGAACATTTTGTTCATGTGGGATTTTTAAATATAATAAATGTTAATTTAAGGCATGCAATGAGGTGTCAACATTTCAGAGGAACCCTTAACTAAAGTGACCCAGACGCTGACTTCCAAAAGTCTTTTTGTTTGTTTTGGTTTTTTTTTTTTTGAGACAGAGTTTCACTCTTGTTGCCCAGGCTGGAGTACAAGGGGGAAGATCTAGTGAAACCTCCGCCTCCCAGGTTCATGCAAGTCTCCTGCCTCAGCCTCCCAAGTAGCTGGGATTATAGGCACATGCCACCACGCCTGGCTAATTTTGTATATATTTTTCTGAGTTGGAGTTTCCCTCTTGTTGCCCAGGCTGAAGTACAATGGCACAATCTTGGCTCACTGTAACCTCGCCTCCTGGGTTCAAGCGATTCTCCTGCCTCAGCCTCTTGAGTAGCTGGAATCACAGGCACTATGGCCGGCTAGTTTTGTATTTTTAGTAGAGATGGGATTTGTCCATGTTGGTTAGGCTGGTCTTGAACTTACAGGTATGAGTCACTGCACCTGGTGGGGTTTTTCCCTGTTGGTCAGGCTGGTCTCGAACTCCTGACCTCATGTGATCCACCCACCACGCTCTCCCAAAGTGCTGGGAATACAGGCGTGAGCCACTGCACCTGGCCAAGTTTTTTTTTTGAGACGGAGTCTCACTCTGTCCCCAGGGTGGAGGGCAATAGTGTGATCTTGGCTCCCTGCAACCTCCGCCTCCTGAGTTCTAGCGATTCTCCTACCTCAGCCTCCCTGGGTAGCTAGGACAACAGGCATGAGCCATCATGCCTAGCTAATGTTTGTATTTTTAGTAGAGACGGGGTTTCACCATGTTGGCCAGGGTGGTCTTAATCTCTTTTTTTTTTTTTTTTTTTGAGACGGAGTTTCGCTCTTGTTACCCAGGCTGGAGAGTGCAATGGCGTGATTTCGGCTCACCTCAACCTCCACCTCCTGGGTTCAGGCAATTGTCCTGCCTCAGCCTCCTGAGTAGCTGGGATTACAGGCACGTGCCACCACGCCCAGCTAATTTTTTGTATTTTTAGTAGAGACGGGGTTTCACCATGTTGACCAGGATGGTATTGATCTCTTGACCACGTGATCCACCTACCTCAGCCTCCCAAAGTGCTGGGATTACAGGCGTGAGCCTCCACGCCCGGCGGTCTTGATCTCTTGGCCTTGTGATCCACCCACCTTGGATTACAGGCATGAACTACTTCGCCTGGCCCAAGCGTTTTTGTTTTTTGTTTTTATTTTTAAGACGAAGTTTCACTTTTGTTGCCCAGGCTGGAGTGCAGTGGTGCAATCTTGGCTCACCGTAATCTCTGCTTCCCAGGTTCAAGCGATTCTCCTGCCTCAGCCTGCTGAGTAGCTGGGATTACAGGCATGTGCCACCAGACCTGGCTAGTTTTATATTTTTAGTAGAGACAGGGTTTCTCCCAGGCTGGTCTCAAACTCCCAGTCTCAGATGATCCGCCCAACTCAGCCTCCCAGAGTGTTGGGATTACAGGTGTGAGCCACTGCACCCACCCCAAGTCATTTTATTATAACGTATTTGTTTCAAATTATAAAAGCAATACCTGAGAGGGCTTGGTGGCTCATGCCTGTAATTCTGGCAGTTTGGGAGGCTGAGGCTGGAGGATTGCTTGATACCAGGAATTCAGACCAGCCGCCTGGGCAATATGGTCAGACACCATTTGTTTTAAAAAAGACAAAAATTTAGGGGGCTGGGCGCGGTAGCTCACACCTGTAATCCCAGCACTTTGGAAAGCCAAGGTGAGTGGATCACAAAGTCAGGAGATCGAGACCATCCTGGCCAACATGGTGAAACCCTATCTCTACTAAAAATTCAAAAATTAGCCAGGCATGGTGGTGTGTGCCTATACTCCCAGCTACTCTGGAGGCTGAGGCAGGAGAATCACTTGAACCCTGGAGACAGAGATTTCAGTGAGTCCAGATCGTGCCATTGAACTCCAGCCTAGACAACAGAGTGAGACTCCATCTCAAACAAACAAATAAATAAATAAAATAGCAAGCTGGGTGGGGGAGCTGGGCATAGTGGCTCACATCTATAATCTCAGCACTTTGGAAGGCCAAGGTGGGTGGATCACCTGAGGTCAGGAGGTCGAGACCAGCCTGACCAACATGGTGAAACTATCTCTACTAAATTAAAAAAAAAAAAAAAAAAAAACCGGGTCTGGTGGCATGGGGCTGTGTTTCTAGCTACTCAGGAGGCTAAGGCTGGAGGATTGTTTAAGCCCAGGAGATTAAGACTGCAGTAAGAAGTGATCACACCACTGCACTCCAGCCTGGGAAACAGAATGAGACCCTATCTTAAAGAATAATAAAATAAAAGTAATACCTGTTAACCAAAGAAAAATTTAGAAAATATAGAAAAATAATTTTTTTTTAATGAAGTCTTGCTCTTTTGCCTATGCAGGAGTGCAGTGGCTCAGTCTTAGCTCACTGCAACCTCTACCTCCCAGGTTCAAGCAATTTTCCTGCCTCAGCCTCCCAAGTAGCTAGGATCACAGGTGCCCACCATCATGCCTGGCTAATTTTTGTATTATTATTATTTTTTCGAGACAAAGTTTTGCTCTGTCGCCCAGGCTGGAGTGTAGTGGGGCCATCTTGGCTCACTGCAAACTTTGCTTCCTGTGTTCAAGCGATTCTCCTTCCTAAGCCTCCCAAGTAGCTGGGATTACAGGTACCCACCACCACACCCAGTTAATTTTTGTATTCTTAGTGGAGACGGGGTTTCACTATGTTGGCCAGGCTGGTCCTGACTTCAGGTGAGCCACTGGCCTTGGCCTTCCAAAGTCCTGGGATTATAGGCGTGAGCCACTGTGCCTGGCCAGGAATAAATTTTTAAAAATTCAAATTTGACTACTTCTCCCCCAGACTCCTTGATAGTCTGTTAGTGGGAGATCCTTAAAATTAAAAAACAAAATTCAAATTCTACCACATAGACATTAACCAGGATTAACATTTGCAAATATCTTTCTAGTCTGTTTTCCACTCAATTACACAAATACTGGTAAATTGCATTAATAATCCTTTTTTTTTTTTTTGAGACAATCTCGCTCTGTTGCCTGGGCTGGAGTATGTTGGCATGATCTCGGCTCGCTTGCTGCAAACTCCACCTCCCTGGTTCAAGCAATTCTCCTGCTTCAGCCTCCCGAGTAGCTGGGACTACAGGTACATGCCACCCATGCCCAGCTCATTTTTTGTATTTTTAGTAAAGATGGGGTTTCACCGTGTTAACCAGGATGGTCTCAATCTCCTGACCTCTTGATCCACCTGCCTCGGCCTCCCAAAGTGCTGGGATTACAGGCTACTGAATAATTCTCAATATTAAGTATATTGCTGGTACTTCCTCATAGAGGGAAAGATGTTACTTTTAGCAAATTTCCAGGAATAAAGAATGGTAGAAACCTAAGAACTGATTTAAAAATACATCAGCCAGTATATTCATTTCTGAAAAACTAAAAATAACATGGAATAAATTATTTAGCTTTTTTAGAGGGTTGAACAGTAAAGTGCTTTATGAAGTTGGTTTTGTTTTTTTGAGACAAACACCCTTTGATAATATTACAGTGGTGGTGTGTGTCTTATTTTCTGTTATTTTGAGGAAAAAGCTTGGTTCTACTAGTAGGAGTTTGTTTATATTGTCCAATTCTCTTGTGGTTGGAGCTTTTTCCATTTTATAGCTAGTTAATATAATTTTATTTTATTTTTTTATTTTTTTGAGATGGAGTTTTACTCTGACACCCAGGCTGGAATGCAGTGGCATGATCTCAGCTCACTGAAACCTCTGTTTCCCAGATTCAAGCAATTCTCTGCTTCAGCCTCCCAAGTAGCTGGGATTACAGGTGCCCACCATCACGCCTGGCTAACTTTTCTGTATTTTTATTAGAGACAGAGTTTCACCATCTTGACCAGGCTGGTCTTGAACTCCTGATATCATGATCCACCCACCCTGGCCTCCCAAAGTGCTGGGATTACAGGCATAAGCCACTGTGCCTAGCCAGTTAATATAATTTTCTATGATGCCTTTAAGAAGAAATGTGCTGGGCGAGGCCGTTCATGCCTGTAATCCCAGCACTTTGGGAGGCCGAGGTGGATGGATCACAAAGTCAGGAGTTCAAGACCAGCCTGGCTAAGATGGTGAAACCCTGTCTCTACTAAAAATTCAAAAAAATTAGCTGGGCATGGTGGCAGACGCCTGTAATCCCAGCTACTTGAAAGATTGAGGCAGAGAATTGCTTGAACCCAGGAGGCAGAGGTTGCTGTGAGCCAAGATGGCGCCACTGCACTACTGCCTGGGTGACAGAGTGAAACTCTGTCTAAAGAAAAAGAAAAAAAAGAAATGCTGGCTGGGCATGGTAGCTCACGCCTATAATTCCAGCACTTTGGGAGGCTGAGGCGGGGGAATCTCCCGAGGTCAGGAGTTCCAGACCAGCCTGGCCAACATGATGAAACCCCTTCTCTATTAAAAATACAAAAATTAGCTGGGCATGGTGGTGTGCACCTTAGTCTCAGGTACTAGGGAGGCTGAGGTGGCAAAATCACTTAAACCTGGGAGGTGGAGGTTGTAGTGAGCTGAGATCACACCACTGTACTCTAGCCTGGGCAACAGAGCAAGTCTTAATCTCAAAAAAAAAAAAAAAAAAAAGAAAGAAATGCTTACATTTTGGCCTGGGCAAAGTGGCCCACACCTGTAATCCCAGCACTTTGGAAGACCTAGGCAGGTTGATCACTTGAGGTCAGGGGGTTTGAGACCAGCCTGGCCAACACAGTGAAAACCCATCTCTACTAAAAATACAAAAATTAGCCAGGCATGATGGCACATACCTATAGTCCCAGCTACACAGGAGGCTGAAGCGTGAGAATCTCTTGAACCTGGAAGGCATAGGTTGTAGTGAGCCGAGATCATGTCACTGTACTCCAGCCTGGGCAACAGAGGAAGATTCTATCTAAAAATAAAAAAAGAAGAAATGGATATATATGTGTATATATATGTGTGTGTGTGTGTGTTTATGTGTGTATATATATATATATATATATAATTTTTTTTTTTTGAGACAGAGTCTTGCTCTGTCGCCAGGCTGGAGTGTAATGGCGCAATCTCAGCTCACTGCAGCCTCTTCTTCCTGGGTTCAAGCGATCTCCTCCCTCAGTCTCCCTAGTAGCTGGGATTATAGGCATGCGCCACCATGCTCAGCTAATTTTTTGTATTTTTAGGAGAGATTGGGTTTCTCCATGTTGGCCAGGATGGTCTTGATCTCCTTACATCATGATCACCTGCCTCCCAAAGTCCTGGGATTACAGGCATGAGCCACTGCACCCAGCCGAAATGCTTTTAAGTGAATGTTTTCTCCTGAAACAGCTGAATTTTAATAGCTTGGGACCTGATTTGTAACCAAATTCTTGTTAAATATCTGATAACTATTGTGTCCTGCTATTTAAATGGAGATATTAGTTTATCTGCTCTAGTGGCTGGCTTAGCATTCAAAGCCTGAGTTTGAGGCTAGGACGCCTTCCCCATCTGAGCTTCCATTACGCATGACTGAACTCTTTGAGCATGTCTAGCATGCTAAATACAGCAGCTCCTCACAGTGTGAAAATAAAACCTGATTAAAAACAAATCTATTTTAATTCCCCTTTGCAAATGGCTCTGCTTTAATGTCAACTTTCTGAATTATCTTTAATAATCAAATGAGGAAATTCACTTCACTATCCATTTATCATAGATAAATCACAACCTACTTTTTGACCTTTTTCAATGAGCGTCAATTATTGTTAAATAAAAAATCATCAGAGAATAACAAGAGTGGGTTGCCTTTCTATAGAACACATAACAAAGATACATGCTTTAAAGATGTTCTGCCCCTCGAAGTATTTGTTACAGGAATATAAATGGAGAAAAGCTCTTTCTGGTGTTTTGTGATGCATTGTCAGCAAAAATGAAAAGCACTGAGAGGTGGTGCTGTTTTCTCTGAACCATCCAGTGCCATCCTCGTCGGTGCAGTGGTACACGCGCTCTCCGCCGCCATGACTGAGCAGATGACTCTTCGTGGCAACCTCAAGGGCCACAACGGCTGGGTAACACAGATTGCTACTACTCCTCAGTTCCCGGACATGATCCTATCCGCCTCTCAAGACAAGACCATCATCATGTGGAAACTGACCAGGGATGAGACCAACTATGGAATTCCACAGCGTGCTCTGCGAGGTCACTCCCACTTTGTTAGTGATGTGGTTATCTCCTCAGATGGCCAGTTTGCCCTCTCAGGCTCCTGGGATGGAACCCTGCGCCTCTGGGATCTCACAACGGGCACCACCACGAGGCGTTTGTGGGCCATACCAAGGATGTGCTGAGTGTGGCGTTCTCCTCTGACAACCGGCAGATTGTCTCTGGATCTCGAGATAAAACCATCAAGCTATGGAATACCCTGGGTGTGTGCAAATACACTGTCCAGGATGACAGCCACTCAGAGTGGGTGTCTTGTGTCCGCTTCTCACCCAACAGCAGCAACCCTATCATTGTCTCCTGCGGCTGGGACAAGCTGGTCAAGGTATGGAACCTGGCTAACTGCAAGCTGAAGACCAACCACATTGGCCACACAGGCTATCTGAACACAGTGACTGTCTCTCCAGATGGATCCCTCTGTGCTTCTGGAGGCAAGGATGGCCAGGCCATGTTATGGGATCTCAACGAAGGCAAGCACCTTTACACCCTAGATGGTGGGGACATCATCAACACCCTATGCTTCAGCCCTAACCGCTATTGGCTCTGTGCTGCAACAGGCCCCAGCATCAAGATTTGGGATTTAGAGGGGAAGATCATTGTAGACGAACTGAAGCAGGAAGTTATCAGCACCAGCAGCAAGGCAGAACCACCCCAGTGCACCTCCCTGGCCTGGTCTGCTGATGGCCAGACTCTGTTTGCTGGCTATACAGACAACCTGGTGCGAGTGTGGCAGGTGACCATTGGCACCCGCTAGAAGTTTGTGGCACAGCTTTACAAATTAAAGGAAAAAACTGGGAAAAAAAGAAAAGAAAAGCACTGAGAAAATTAAACACTCGATTTCAGTCTGAGCAAAGGGCATATACTTACCAGTTTTGTTATTAAAAGCTTTTGCAATAGAAAAAGTCAACCAAAAAAATAAAAGCAAGAAACTTCATATCTGACATGCAATCACTGCATCCTGATTTAACTACAGGACCTGGCTATAATGATGAAAATATTGTTTTTTTGAGACTGAGTCTCACTCTATCACCCAGGCTGGAGTGCACTGGCAGGATCTTGGCTCACTGCAATCCCCATTTCCCAGGTTCAAGCGATTCTCCTGCCTCAGCCTCCCAAGTAGCTGGGATTACAGACACTCCCCACCACTCCTGGCTAATTTTTGTATTTTTAGTGAAGACCAGGTTTCACATATTGGCTGGGCTCGTCTGGAACTCCTGACCTCAGGTGATCCGCCCACTTCAGTCTCCAAAAGTATGGGGATTACAGGCGTGAGCCACCACGTCCCTCCTGATAATGTGTTTATTAAAAAATACTTTTTATGAAAACTATTAGGAAAATGTAGTGTTTTAAGCTTCAGCTGTTGCTTACTTTTGATATTAATGTGAAATTAAATGTCCACATAATAGTATAGTATGATATTTACATGGTGTTTACTTCCAAACATTTTAACATATATTATTTCATTTGTTACTTCTAGCAACCTTACTAGATACAGAAAACAGGTAGTTTAGCCGGGCGCGGTGGCTCACGCCTATAATCCCAGCACTTTGGGAGGCTGAGGCGGGTGGATCACGAGGTCAAGAGATTGACACCATCCTGGTCAACATGGTGAAACCCCATCTCTACTAAAAATACAAAAATTAGCTGGGCATGGTGGTGCGCACCTGTAGTCCCAGCTACTCGGGAGGCTGAGGCAGGAGAATTGTTTGAACCCAGAAGTTGGAAGTTGTGGTGAGCCGAGATCGTGCCATTGCACTCCAGTCTGGGTAACAACAGCGAAACTCCGTCTCAAAAACAAAACAGGTAGTTTTATACTCGCTTTACAGGTAAGGTAAGGAAATTGAGACTTCGAGTATTTAATTGATTTGCCTAGGCCATATAGTCAGTGACATAATTGGAACTAGATTTTTTTTTTTAATCTAATGCCAATTATTATTACTATTTTTTTTTAAGGCACAGGGTCTTGCTCTGTTGCCTGACTAGAGTTTCTCCATGTTGGTCAGGGTGGACTTGAACTCCCGATCTCAGGTGATCCTCCCGCCTCGACCTCCCAAAGTCCTGATATTACAGGTGTGAACCCCATGCCCAGATGGAATTTTTGACTGGCTCATGCCTGTAATCTTGGCACTTTGGGAGGCCAAGCCAGGAGGTTCACTGGAACCCAGAAGTTTGAGATCAGCCTAGATAGACATGGGTTCATACCTATAATCCCAGGCTTGGAAGGCCAAAGGTTGGAGGACTGCTTGAGAACAGGAATTGGAGACCAGCTTGGGCAACAAAGTGAGATCGTTTCTCTACAAAAAATAGTTGTGGTGGTGGGCACCTGTGGTCGTATCAATATAGCAATACCTTGTCTCTATTAAGAAAAAAAAAAGAGGGCTGAGTGTGGTGGCTCACGCCTGTAATCCTAGCACTTTGGGAGGCAGAGGTGGGTGGATCACCTGAGGTCAGGAGTTCAAGACCAGCCTGGCCATCATGGTGAAACCCCATCTTTAAAAAAAAAAAGTAACGGTAGAATTCCCACCTGTATTGCTTTTTTAACCCAGCATTTCCTTTTTACCTTTTATTTTTTTTGGAGACGGGGTTTCACCTTGTTGGTCAGGGTGGTTTCAAACTCCTGACCTCAGGTAATCCAGCCACCTCGGCCTCCTAAAGTGTTGGGATTACAGGCGTGAGCTACCATGCCCGGTCTATTTTTCCTTCAAATGAATTCCTTAACTGAAATAGAGTATTATTTTTTTGACACCATAGGAGCACATTAAAAATTAGAACAAAAAATAATTAAAATTTGTTTTACTCATTACATAATTTACCTATCTATTTAGCTGATGTCTGTTGACATTTTAAATATTGAGAATTCTCTTTTTAGAGGTGTAATCACATTTCAAAAAAAAAAACCTAAATCAAATACTTCTGTTGCTATTTTTGGTGCCCCTAATTCTGAAAACATGTATTTTGTTAAAACTAAGACTTCAAGAGAATCTGAGTGAGGCGGTTATAAAATGATGTTTAATGGAAATTTGCTTGCCTGTAAATTGTTAAGAGTTTCTCAATTGTTTGAGAAATCTCCGATATGATGATAACTTGACATTTCCTCGTAATTTCTTTTTACATTCTATGATCTCTAAGGATCTTGGAGATAATTATAACTAAACTTTATTGAATAATTTGTATGTTAATAATCTTCCACAAGTTTCTCCTCTGCTATTCCCCAGATGGTGGGAGGTTTCAAAGTATTTGTAAACAGCTTTGCCCATTTCAAATTAAATTATAAAAATTGTGGCCGGGCGCAGTGGCTCACGCCTATAATCCCAGCACTTTGGGAGGCTGAGGCGGGTGGATCACGAGGTCAAGAGATTGAGACCATCCTGTTCAATATGGTGAAACCCCGTCTCTACTAAAAATACAAAAATTAGCTGGGTATGGTGGCGCACGCCTGTAGTCCCAGCTACTAGGAAGGCTGAGGCAGGAGAATTGCTTGAATCCAGGAGGCGGAGGTTGCGGTGAGCCAAGATTGCGCCATTGCATTCCAGCCTGGGTAACAACAGCGAAACTCCATCTCAAAAAAAATAAAATAAAAATTAAGTATCTACTCTGCCTTTTACATGGAGCAATAGCACTACTGTAACAAGACTTTTAGGCGAATCAGAACGAAATTAAAAAATTTAGTTTGGTAAAAATGTTACTTTTTTTGTGGAGAAAGTATTATAAACATTTATTTTTTCTTTTTTTTAAAGACGGGGTTTCACCATGTTGGTCAGGCTGGTCTTGAACCCCTGACCTCAGTTGATCTGCCCACCTTGGCCTCCAAAGTGCTCGGATTACAGGTGTGAGTCACCACACCCGGCCTATAAACACTTCTTAATTGGTTCTTACCTTTTTATTGCTGTTTAGATGCAAAATACCATATTGAATCATTACTCTAACCATTCTCTCCTTTAATTATTTTCCTTCTTTAAAAGGCCTTTTTTTTTTCCAGCCCTTGAATTCTTTTTTTTAGCATGATTTTAACAAGCCTGCATTCACAGTGAGACATGCCATTTATTTCTATAATTGCAAGACACTTTTCTGAATCCTCTTGTCAGTTGCTCCTTTTAATACAATTTAATACAATTGAGGTGACGCTGTTCTTCATGGGAACTGTGTTCTTTATGGTGACACTGGTCTTTCTCAAGAGGTTTTAGCTAATTCAGAGTCTATCAGATTTTAAAATAAGCTTCAAACCTGGGTGCTTGTATTCAAATTTGTGCTTCACAGAAAAATGCTTATCAATTCAACATTTAATTGCAGCCACATTCACAGTTCATGAGTTTAGGTAGTAGGGTGCTAGCCTGACTTTCCTTATGTGATAATTGTGACAGAGTAATGGCCAGATGTAAGTAGCCAATTCTACTTTCTTTATTCCTTTTTTAAGAGAGGGGTGTTCCCTATGTTGCCAATGCTGGAGTGCTGGGGCTTTTCAAGGCAAAATAATAGTGCACTACAGCTTGGACCTCCTGGACTCAGGTGATGCTCCTGCCTTAGCCTCTCCAGTAGCTGAGACTACAAAGAAACAATTTAATTATGCATAGGTGACCTATTTGTGCCATTGGTTATGGTGACAGTATTTTTGAAGTCAAATGGTGTCGTTTGTAAGTTGGTTTGTATTTAAGGATAAAATCCAGGAGACCAAGTATTTAAAATTGGCTGGGCTGGTGGCTCATGCCAGTAATCCTGGTACTTTGAGAGGCCAAGGTGGGCAGATCACTAGGTCAACAGCTCGACCATCCTGGACAAGGTGAAACCCCGTCTCTGAAATAGAAAAATTAGCTGGGCAAGGTGGCTCGAGCCTGTAGTTCCAGCTACTCGGGAGGCTGAGGCAGGAGAAATGCTTGAACCCGGGAGACAGAGGTTACAGTGAGCTGAGATCGTGCCACTGCACTCCAGCCTGGTGACACAGGGAAACTCCATCTCAACAACAACAACAAAAAGTTCAACTGTAGGTTTCAAAAGCTTTTAGGCCTGGAAAGGCCAGAGGTCTAATTCCTTCTCTGTTTAAATTATGGCAAACCCTCTGAAGGGAGCAATATTGGATTCCTAACTGTCTCATTTCTGTTTTATTCCTCGTATACCCTAGCGATCAGCAAGGATATCTTGCAAATGGTTTTGCAAGATCCTATATAAAAAAGTTGCTTAGGCTGGGCGCAGTGGCTCAGGCATGTAATCCCAGCACTTTGGGAGGCCAAGGCAGGCGATTACCTGAGGTCAGGAGTTCAAGACCAGCCTGGCAACACGGTGAAACCCTGACAACTAATACAAAAATTAGCCGGGCGTGGGGGCAGGTGCCTGTCATCCTAGCTACTCGGGAGACTAAGGCAGGAGAATCGCTTCAGCCTGGGAGGCGGACGTTGTAGTGAGCCGAGACCGTGCCATTGCACTCCAGCCTGGGCAACAGGGCGAGACTCCGTATAAAAAAAAAAAACAACAAAAAACCGTTGCTTAATGTTACAAGCCAATGGCTCTTGCATGAGATCTATTTCTGAAGCCGTCGCTGCTCAGCGGGGCGGTGAGAAGGGCATCCTTGTTTTGATCGCTTTCCCAAGCAGGCGGAGATCCAAGTACTCGGAAACGCCGGGAGCTGGCCGCCGGGTGAGCGGAGGACGAAAGGGTCCTGGCTTTTAGGGGACAGGCCTTGGCAGTCGCTTTGACCCGTAGCCCTGTCGAAACCAACTCCATTTCTCTTAATTTCTTCCACTAGACCTGCGCCTGGGGTTACCGCTGGAGGGGCTAGAGACCCGCCCTACCGCCCCTGCCCC